TGCACGTCGTTCGAAAAAACAGCAACCGTGGGCTTCCTCCCGAAGCTTTCTCTGGAAAGGATCCCTTGGAGGGTTATCCCCACCAGGAGGGCCTGGACGGATGGTCGGGTCGTTTTAACTGTGGAACGCGGCTCGAATCACGAGCGAATGAGACGCCGCTAGATGGGTTCCGCAGCTATCTCTTCTTCCCTTGCTCCTTTTTCCGCTTCCTCGGTTCGTTCTTTGTCGACCGTGTTCCGCGAATCGTTCCCTTCTTCGTGTATCGAATCTGTAGGCGATACGTGGGCGGCCCCGATCCCGAGCATTCGCTTGGGAGGATATATTGGTAGACGTGCAAGGATCTCCAGTGAGCCTGCGCTGCCGTTATCGGTCGATACACGCTTTTGGGAAACTTCCCACGTGTTGCGAGGAGCCGCGCGAACCCGATTTCCTCTTTCGCTCGATTCGCGATGCCGTTCCACCTATTCGCGCATCGGAAACGAGTCGTCCGACCCCGTTCTTTCGATCTCGTTCCGTTCCGAGTAACGGAGGGATGATCGGTTCGCCTACGAGTCTCGTAAACTCCAGCATCAATGAACGCGATCGTTGGGAACCGATTCATTGATCAACGCGAGCTTTAAATGGTCGATCGTCTTTACGTTGGGCCCACGGTAGGTGGCAGCATGAACGGGCGACATCCGATGATCGCCTACGTGCAATCCTGTCGCAGCCGTTTCGATAAACGGCCTACAAAGCCGACGAGACGGAGGGGCCGGGACGATGCTTACATTCCCTGGAGCCCCTCCTGACATCGGCTGTACGTGGGTACATTATTCATTCTCTACTACATTCGGCAGCAGGAGGGTGCGGACGAGTGTGTGCGTATCCCTCGTAGTCGACGAACCAACGTGCACTCGCCTATCTTCTCTGTGTGCGTACGCTCATACGTCTCTCTCTTCTCTTTTTCGATGCGTCCCTCTTTCTCTATCCCCGCCTCACCCTTCTATCGCCTTCCTCGTCTACTCTTCGACCCGCGTACGCGTCTCTCTTCTGCTTCGTTCGTCTACCACTCTCCGTCCTCGTTACCCTTCCACCCTTTTTTTTTACCTTATCTATCGTGCCCTTCTCTCTCTTTCTCTTTCCCGCCTCCGTTTGTCCACCCCTTACCCATTTTCGTCTTCGTCTCCTCGACGCGATGCCTCTCTCGTTTTCCTGCTTTCTTTTCTCTCTCTCTCCCTCTTTCTCGCTCCGCCGCTATCTCGCTTCCTCCGTCGTGGTTCGCGTAAACAGAAGCCGGAGTAAAACGAAAACGCAGTGGGGTAGAGGGCGACAAGGGCAGGCTTCGGCACGGAACGGGTGGTGCCGATGGAGGGATCGAAGGGGTGGCGGCATTAGGGGTGCTAGGGAGAACAGACGGAGGGGAACCGAAATCGGAAGAGTATCGAAGCGAAAGCGCGGAGGGATCATCGGAGAGGGAGGGGGAGAAGTGACTAGCTAACAAGCCGGTTGCACACGATGCGTCGAAATAAAAGGGCGATCCTGGTCGAGGATAAGGACACGATCTCTTCGGGAACGAGCCTTTCCGCCTCGTGTGCAAACGACTCGGCTCCTAAGCAAGCTCACCCCTCTTCACTTCCGACGCTCTCGACGTACTTCCCTGGGGGAGGTTGTAGCCAATCAGCGGTCGAGTTTCCGTGGCCCACGGCCGCAGGCTGACTCCGCGTCTCCCGTACCTAATGTAGGTTGTCGAAGGTAGGCATCCTTTGTACCCTCCTCGCCTTTTTACCTTCGTTCCCTACCTCCTACTCGAGAACGAAGGTAACGAAGGTCATTTATGGGGCACCGTACCCGACACGATCTCTCCTGGCCTCTGTTCGTGCCCCCCTCTTGCGTACCTCACAGACCAAGCCAGATGATAAATCGAGGTAGAATCGAGGGAGTCGATGCACCGGGAGGAACGGTGAACCTTTTGTACATTTTATTTCCGCCATTGCACGTGCTTTACCGTTACGCGATTAATTTTCGCGAGTGGTTGTAGGTCTCGGGCTCTTTTCTATTTTGCGTTTAATTCCTTGATGGCGGTACATACATGCAACACGAAGGTCCAATGTACGATTTACGTATTTTGCGACGTAATTGCCTTTATGTATTTCAACCTCGTTTCATCCCTTCGCAGCTTTTTTGTGCAAACGGCTTACAAATTTTTCTGTCGAGATTCGTATCGATATCGAAATTTATTCTTTGGTTTTAATGGAGTACGAGAATCAAAAGAGATCGACAATGGCGAGCGATAATTCTGAAGGAATCGCGTTGCAATAGGCATTTCGAAATGTTAGGCACCGTTTGTTAATACTTTTGAAGTCGGTAAGTTCGTTAGGACGATTAATTTCGGGGTCTGTCCGAAGGGTTGCCCGCCTCTGACCGAACGCAAATATGGCATGGAACCGGAGGTAGCTTTACGCACCTTCGAGAACGACACGACATCGCGGAACCGTCGAGGTCCCTGAATTTTAACCGTGCTCGAATTTGTTATTCGTGTATCGTGGATGCACGTTCTGCTTAATTTTGTCCGAAAAATGCGGAAATTATGCTTAACTTTCGAATGGCGGTGCCGAACCAGCGAGGGTTAACGACGACAAGGCGAGGGGTAGGTAATGGAAAAGAAATGTACGCTGCTTTCTGATTATACACATCATGATTTATTGCCGAGCAATGATCGTACAGTGAATGTAACACGATGTTCAAAAATCAACGTTAACAAAATAATGGGATAAACGCATCGCTTCGGAAATAACAAATGTTGCCTCGATTATCGACGAGACGTAGCGGAGTAGTTTCCAAACGAAGAGAATATTAATGAAACTGGATAATTAGATACTCGAACGATCAATCGTATCGAATACGTAGAAACGTAACGCGTATTTATAGCCTGAACCATCTCGCGACTTACGGTTGAGTTACAATTTCTCTTTCGTAAAATTCATGATTTTTAGGACCGTTATCTGCAACGCACGAAAGGAGAAATCAAATACGGGAATAATTGTATTTTCAATGCTTGATGATATTCTTATCTCGATTACAACTCACGGTTTGCTTATCATAGAAATACTGTATTGCGTTAAATATGGAGTAATCATGGGCAATAATATCGATAGTAACTGTATAATTAGTTGCACCCTACGTCGCAAATGTATCGTGTCGATGCTTCCGAAGCATAACCGATATCTCGCGTTTATCGTTACGACTCGTAAAATTTTTCAAACAAAAATTAGTATAACTATACCTATATCTTGAACGATAAACTTCGCGGCGATCGAACGAAAACAACGTGAACTTTTACGTACGATTTTAATAACTTTTTTTTTCGTTAATCTAAAACATTCGCGTAAAGCTTGATGATTTATAGACGCGATTTCAATGCTCGCTCTTGTTACAGTCATATATTTTTGGCATTCTATGTTTACGATACGTCGATTTCTTAGACACAACATTTAAAGAAACTTCTATAAAATCGCTGTAGTTGGGCGTCAATGTTCTTCGTGGATGTTACAACGTAAACAAGCGAAGAGACAACGTAGGAAGTAAGTTGTCGATCCAAAGAATTCTTGATCCCTCGTTACAACGCAGACACTGAAGTACGTGGGCGTTCAAATCTTTCTGAATTGTAAATTTAGAAATGATTTATAGCGATAGCGCTGTTAACACCTCACCGACAGGAAGCTTATTTATAGACCTTAACCGTTAACGGCTTATTTGTGATTCAATTGAAGCAATTCAGTGGAATTCCATGATTATTGCCTCCATCGTTTTGCTGCTGTTACATTGATTTATCAGAAAACAACGGGTAAGGTATCAACGATTTAGTGGATGATATTTTAACTAATAGAATAATCAGCTATTTTTGAAATAAATTTAATATTAACCATTTGCGATCTGCTTATTCGTTCAATCTACTAACTTACATCCAACTACTGTATGTACGAAGTATCACAGCGAACCCTTTGGGAAACAAAGTATCAAGCTAAGGGGGACAATCTATACGTTAGAATTTTTGTTCTTGTTTTAAAAGTTGTATGCTTCATCTAGAACATCATAGGTAACAACACTCGAAATCGTGTCAAGGAAACACGTTTGGACCGCAAAGGGTTAACACGTTCTTCGTGGCTACGCTATCTTATTTTGTAAACCACCAACTCCGATTAACATTATCCTACTATTTCTGTAACGTAGATACTCCATAATCGGTGGATCGACAAATAAATTATGATCGATCGTGAACGTAATTCGATTTCGTTTAAAAATGCTGTAGAAAAATAACAATGCCGTAAAAATCTGGGTCCCTTTTTACTTTTTTTTTCTTTAAATTCACCATAAAATTCTAACGAGCTGTTCTCGTTTTTTCCTAAACTGGCAGTTTTTGATTTTCAGCATACTCGAAATCGCTTGATTGCTCTTCTTCATCGTGTAACCAGAAAACTAATTGACACAAATTCGTTATTAATTGAAACATCTGTCTCCTGTTTTGCACACGCGTTTACATTTGGCTTCTGTATACTGCAATTATTTCGTACGCCTCGAGTTGGTGCAAAGGTTTATCGTATTTGCGATGTTCGAAATAATTATAATAGACTTTTGTCATTTTATGGGCGTCTGATGCACCATCGAAGGTCGCGAGGATTCACTGGGACCGCCATGTTATATCGCCATTATGCTTTATAAAGCAACGTCAAAATTTTCTTAGCCAGCTCGGTATTTTTACCGTGTGCACTCATTCTGCATAATTAACAATTACACGTACCGATAACTTTGATCATTTCTCGCAACTGTAATTGCTCGACTTCTATTGAAATAATACGACAAACCTTCAACACCAACTTAACGTATCTTAAGCGAACGCGTTGCTTCTCTACATGTACGCACATATTAATTATATAATGTAGTTTCATTTATCTCCCCATTTTCATATGCATTTTCATCGCACCGATTCGTTTCGACCGGTCGATTGGAATTCTATGATACGTTTGCATACCCACCTTGACTCTTACTCGATAATTATCATACTCTCTTTACGCAACGCGTACGCTCCGATCGATGTGCACACTGTTTTTATCATTCTGATCGTTCGAGTAGAATCTGGATTCCTAGCAAACATGTCTTTTATTAGGTTTCCATCGAATCAACCACTATTTATCGCTGTCCTTTTGCGCGAACAGGAGCAATTCAGCGATCGTATATACAAATTTCGATACAGCGTTAAAAATGCTTTCGCGTATCACGCATATAAAGTTTCAAATGTTTTCAAAGCACTCGATCGTATCGATCTTAAGCTATAACAGAAGGTGTCGTGTAACTGATAATACGAGAGGAAAAATGGTGATCTTATGCGAGAAAAATAGGCTTTAGAAAATTGTACGTAGTGGACAAGAGAAGAAAGACGCTAATATTTTAACAACGTTATTTTATTAACTTGAAAAGCGTTAAAAGTATGGCTTTACCATATTACGTATCCGTATCGTTTCACAGAAGAAACTTTATTCCACAATTTTCCGATTATTTTCTTGCCGCAGAATCGCCATCTTTGAGCTCGTACCAGCAGTCACACGATACCCTACGTATCATTCGCAAATCGATAACAATAGCTATACGCCAGTTTATGCTTTTATAAAATAAAAACTTCGTACGATCTTCGAAGACGTACGCGTACTTTAAGACCTTCCAACTGAACGAAAGCTTTTGCAAAGCTTTCCGCAACATCGACTTCGTATAATTGATAATTATTTTTTAATAATTAGTTAGAGGACTGTTTGAAACCGTCGTTCATCCGACTCGCAACCTTTCAACCGTTCAGACTAGTATCTATCCTTTGCCACGAGTTGAATCGGTCTTGTATCGCGATCGATATAGTATAGACTCGTATGTATATGTATATTATAATAGACGATAATTAAATTGCACTAATACATTGCACACGTTCTCTGGCGTTCTTTGGCATCTCTATGAAGTACATGTTTCGCTATGTTTCTAAAAAAGGAGAGACAAGACAGCTTATCCGTCAACCACCCACCATAATTCTAACCATTCACCCAACTATCTTTCCTACAACCCCCTATAACTTATATTACGTCCAATGTATCTATGTCAGCCATCCTATCATGGACGATAGAACTGTTCCTCGAATTGCCCCTTCTCGAAAACTGCTTTCTTGACTCGATCACGACTCGCGTTTAACCCCTTTGCCTTGCTTCTTCATCAAGTCGTAGACGTAAAAAGGGAAACGAAACGTTTCCGTGAATATCCTCGAGTACATATTTTAAGGCAAGATGTTAATAGTTGACCATAGATACACGTACATGCATTACAAACATACGTAACTTTAGTACATCTAGATAACAACGGTTTTAGATACTGTCATATGTTTCTGGGAAAAGACTGCGGACTGCCGACATATCTGACATTTAACTTTTAGATCTTTTTTTATCTTCTTTTACCAAATTGTAAGTTCTTCCTTTAGAGGATATTTGTATAATAGGTACAGACACGTGTTAGAAATCCGAATACCTAATTTCGATACACCGTTGTACGCGTTCTGGTAGATCCTGATCGCGGGTGCCCCGAAGGGTTAATAACGGCTAATTTTAAAAAAGTACACGAATTTCGTGTACCCCTACCATATCAAATGTCACAATCGTTCTTTCGCTTTCACTTTCCAAGTCGCCGTTCTAGTTTATGCTACCGGGTGTACCCGCGTGTCTCTTCGCACCCACGCGAAAGTCGCCCGAGTTTCACGAAACGTTCTAGGAAGCGAGAGAAAATATGTATGCTTACGGTAACGTACAGCCTTTGGGTTAGTTCACATAGGAATCTCGTTTTCGTGTTCTTACGCGTAAACAACTAGCAATCGAGTGTAGAAAGAAAAATACTCTACTCGAAGCCGAATCTTCGAGGGAGTATTCTCCCTTCGACTCTTAAGACTCGCGTGGCTGCCGCCTATAGAAGTAAATTGGAAAAGAAAAACCCGTAGAGTAGACGGACGATCGATCGAAACCGCGTCCCTGTTTACGGTGGTTGCTGCGAGGCAGTGTTGAAGTAACTGACCCTTTGATTCCTGTATTGCGAGGCGACGACCGCCTGTGGATTAGGGATATGTCTGATACCCAGATTCGGCTTGATCTTCATACCAAACCCGGAAATTCTGTGATGGGGTTGAGGAATTCGAAGAGCTACCTTGCTGGCGATGTTGGTCGAACTCAGCACCAGTGGATCGACCGTATTCTTGTCGATGCTTAGCAGGGACACAGCCGCGTCGGAGAGTGTCACCAGATTGGAATCTTGACCTCGTCGTTGCTCCATATCTTTGGTCTTCCCTCGTAGCAAGCTTCCCGAAGGGATCGCTGGACGCGTTGGTCTGGGATTCAACGAGGGTACGGAACAGGAAGAAGACGAAGAGGACGAAGACGACGAAGAAGACGATGGTGAAGAGGAAGAGGACGAGGATGGAGACGAGGTAAAATTACCGGTGGATAAATTGGCCGATAGATCGAGCACGTTGTCGTGCACTGTTCCTCCGCTGCTCAGATCCAATGGGATCTCGTATTTGGAAGTGTTCGCTTCCAAAATGGCGCTCGATGCGGCAAAACCCGAGGGCTTGGCGACGCGCAGAGGTGCCAGCGGTGGCGGACCTTTCTTCTTCGGTCCGGTGTTGGTCTGTACAGGAGACGATGGGTCTTTCGTCCTGGACATCATGCTCTTCAACGCGTCGCGCATCTGTTTCTCTGCTAACAAACTTCTCACTCGGTTGGCTTTGCTCTCGCGCAATTGTTTCTCTAGCTTTTCTCGGTCCAACCCTTTCTCGCCATTGTTTTGAACTCGTTGCTTGGCTTTATCCTGGAGATTATCGCTCGTCTTGTTCACGGCTACCAGACCCAGTCGTCGAAGAATCTCCTCGTCCTTCTTCGGACGATCGGTCTCCGCTTTATCCGTTGTTTTAGAAGCCTCGGGTTCGCTCTCTTCTCTCTTAGTCGACGATCTACAATTAGAAATTGCGCTTCTCGGATCGACTCTATCGGCCGTAGCCGACGACGCTTCCTCCCCTTGGGTACTTATATTCTGCGCGATCCGCACCACCTCGTCCGGTATACTGTCTATGATTTCTTCTATGGTCTCTTCGGTATCGCCCAAGTTCTCCTTCGTCCCGACGTTTTCTTCGCGGACCAAGGAACTGGTCGTTCTTTGCTGGCTAACTTTGATCTTCTCTCTTCTAACGGCTCTCATTTGTAGCAACTTCTCCTTCGTCTGACCGCTGCTGGTGCTCGACGTGATCCTCGGAGGACACGGAGTCAGTCGAACTTTCAGCTTCAACAAATCCTCCCGCGGCGTGGTGGTGATTTCGGCGATCACTCGCTTGTTCCGTCGTTTCCTGCGCTTTCGGTGCTCCAACCGCGTCAACTCTTTGCTCTTGGAACTCTCTGTCGCGTGGTTGGTCTGTATCGGCACGAGGTCCGGAGTTCTCATGACGGGCGTCACCTCGCATCGGGGTTTCTTCGCCTTCGGCTCTTTGTCGCGTTCCAGATTCGCCTCCAAGGATCGAGGCGGCTCGGTGTTACTTTCTAAAATCCTACGAGCCTCCACTTCGCATTCTTGGGCTGGTTTCGGACTCGGCGGTGGCGTCGGCGGCCTTTGAATGTTCTCCATGGTCGAGGCATCCTTGCTCGTCCCATCGTCGTAAGGACTCAATCGCGACACCGGCTCCGCGTTCTCCTTGCGTATCACGCGATAATACAGCTTCATGGGTGCTTCCTGTAACGTGAAAATCATTGCATCCGTATATGAGTTCATCGTCCTCGAAACAGTTTAAACGATTTAATTATCTGACCACGACCTGTGTTTCGCGTAGCTCAAACGCAACGATCAAACGTTTGCGACGGATTAACTCGTTATCGTCGATTAAACAGAGACTAGTTTGTTCGGGTTCGGAAGTACATAGTGTATGTACTATGCATGTATATATTTGTATAACAGAGGTACCGTCCCGCAAACGTGGTTTGTCATTCCAGAAGATTAAACGCGTCGCAAGTTAGAAACTCACCCTTTTCCAACCGAATATGCAGGCGAGGTCCAACAAAGTCCACGACTGGTCCAGAATCGTCATCTTCGAATCTCCGCGTCGTTGTTCCTTGCTCTTCTCGCACAGCATCTCGATTCTATTGGTGGTCGTTCCCTGAGAGTGTGTTTCTTCCCAACCTCTCTTCAGCATCAACAATCGTACGAGGTGTCGAACCGTAACTCCCGCAGGACACTTGAGGTACCTCGTGCTTTTAACGCGTACGGTGTCTTCGTGCTTCGCTCGCGTTTCGACGTTGGTTCGGTGCCGTGATCCGACACGATTTTCCGTTGGCTGATCGTTCGTCTCGTCCTCCTGTTCGTCCAACTCGCACAAGCTCAGGCTGACGAAATCGTCCAAGGTTAAGTCCAGAGCTCCCAAAGGTAGGGCCAGAGGCGGGCATTGCGGGTTCACTAAGCGAAAGTGGCGTCGTCGCTCGAGCTCGGATCGGAAGAGTCCCGGTACCACCAGATAGACCAAGCGCTGCAGCTTCACGTCCGGTAAAAGCGGCGGCGACGTCGCGACATTGCACACGGGACACGCTCGTGCACCGCTGCTCAATCTTCTGACTATGCAACCTCTGCAAACTAGAGGGTCGAGTTTCTGCTATTAGCTCGTCGCGTATCGAATGGCCGATTTCGAAACGTAGCAAGTCTGACACGATTCGGTAATGTAAAAGTAACGCGAAACAGCGTATCGATTCGAAATTTAAAATTTTTGTGAAAGCGATCGCGTTTCATCGATGCTTTTAATTAAAAAACTGCACGCTCGTATCGGGACGCGATCGCGTTTTCGTCATTTAACTACGCAACCGTTGGTTGCTTGTTTTCGAAATCTCCATTTAGCCGGTTCGGGATGGCATCAGGAGCGCGCGGAGCGAAGAGCAACGCGGTTAGTCACCCTCCTTGAATTTAACCACCCTGCTGGAGGGGCAGACGAACGCACCGACTATTTCACGCACGCGAAGCAAATACGTTTGTTCGAAGCGCGGCGAAACGCGCGTTATTTCGCATCGTTACCGAACGAAATCGGCTGCTCGTAAAACGCCTCAGCGTATTTCCATTGCAAACGAATGCAAATAGAAGCGCGCGAGTGACATGCAACTCGAACGGTCAAAGATTCTACTTTTCTTCGTCGATAAGTTGTAAACAATGGCCGAGAATATTGGGCGATTGGAAAGGTGATACTAACAAGAATGCAGGCATTCCATGAGAGTCGTAGCATCTATGAGGTAGCCTCTGCACAGAGGACACACGATATGTTCGTTCAAGTCTTTAACCAGTGGCTTCTCCCTCTCCTTTGCTTCCATGTCGCTACTCCGTTCTGAAACAGCTGTACCACGCGATCGTTAATCCACCGTTGTCGGATCAAACGAGACAATTAACACCTAATCTACCACTCGCAGACGACTATCGTTTCGTAACTTAACGTGACTGACAATTAAAAAGAACAGTGTCATGTAATATCGTCGAACGCAACGCGTATCGAAGGAGCGAATAACGAGGATCGAAGTCGGAGAAGAAAACGAAAGAAAGAAAAAACCATGCTCGTTTCGCTGTTCCAACATTTATACGGTTCCGATTTATTCCGCGCGACAAAGATCACGGTGGCGATCGGTGATCTCTGGCTTATCTAAAATTAAATCGCTTAACGCACGCATTAATACGATGTCCACGATATCGATGCTCGTTCCAACATAATGGGACCATCGGATTTCGAAATACAGGTAGCCGGCGCGTAGGTTATTCCGAAACGGCGAAAGGGGTACAGGGGAGGGATACGCGCGCGTAATCACATTCGGGGCGGCGATTTTCATTTATGCTAGCACGGTGCATGCCGTCGATATATTTAGAATAATGAAATATCTCGTGAAATACTAGGGGGAAAGCGAGTTACGTGTAGACTTTAAGGTCTATCTCTTTAAAGGGGATGCTTTCTCTTCCCTCCCTCTGTCTCTCTCGCTGCAGGCATTCGATAATATTTTCCAGCAGATAAGCGCACGTCCCGTAACCATGGCAAGTATTAAAGACGAGCATTTCGCTGTTGGCAAAGTGGTTCTAATAGACTCGCCGTTCGCGAATGGTCGTTAAGTGGTCGACTCCTGCGAACCTTCGAAACAGCGTTATCGGCGAAGAGAGACGGAGAGATTAAAGGGAAATTAGCTGAGCTGAGAATCGAAAAAGTGTACATCGAAGTCGCGGAGACGCGCGTACAACGAGGTCCTCGCGTGAAAGGTACTTGACAGTGAAACCAACCGGTCACGCGACCAGTGTCGGCCTGGAAAAACTAGGTTTTTAGAGCTTGCGCGAACTGATCTCCCGCGCGATAATAAACGCACTGGCCAAGTTGTCACTGCGCATGGCTAACGAACTCTGGCTAGAAGGAAACTCTCGACCACCTGTGCGTCGGGGTACGACGCAGTCGGCTACTCGCGTTCAAGCAATTTCGGTCCGTGAATGATCCGCCAAGGCCGGGAACGCGACAGGGACGAAGGTGGGGTCATCGGGAATGGCAGGAGCAATGAAGAGGTGGAGAAAAGGGAGACGGAGAAAGAGAGAGAGGGAGAGAGAGAAACGTAGCGGGAGAGAAAGAGAAAGGGACCGATAGTATAAGAGAAGGGCCTTTGGGCTCGAACTTGAGAAAGGTCTGGCGCCAACTCCGGAGAGATCGAATCCGTTCGCGGCGTAAACGTCGCGGTCTCTACGTTCGATTCTCGAGGGAGACGCGATCTCGATTTTTCATCGACCGTCCGAACCGAGAGGAGCGTGGCGCGTCTCTCTTTTCGATTCCGGTCACGTCTTCTACGCTCGACGAGCACGAGGTCGTGGTTGAAAAACGGCGGAGTAAATAAATTTGATCGCGACGCGGCGCGACGCAAAAAACGGTAAAAAATAATAAAGCGAAACTAAAAAAAGGAAAAATGACGGAGAATCGCGAGAGGGTAAGAGCTGTCGGCGATAGGAGCGTTGCCACGGTAACACATCGGTGATTCGAGCGTTTTTGCTCGGGACGTCGACGTACCGGTACGAGAGCGAGAGCAACAGCGAGAGCACGGTAGCTATTCCAGGCAACAGGATCTCGCGGGCAGCATCGGTATCGCGGCGAACAGCACGGCGCTCCTATCTTCGACGGAGGATCGCGAGAAGAGTACGGAGTTGTTTGGCGATTCGCGCGACTACCACACGCGTTTTCAGGGCGGTGTATATAGACGCTTACACGTAGGTGCTTACCAGCGTAGCGAGAGAGATGGTCGTGGTGGCCAGCAGCGAGCCGCCGTCCCGGCTGGCAGCGGAACGTAGCAGCGGACGTGGCAACGACGGTGTTCTTGGTTGCCGTATCGCCGCTTCTCGCGGTGCAGCGAACGAGGAGAGGTGGCAACGCCGCTCCGTCCGTCGGCG